AATTATTATTATTATTATTATTATTATTATTATTACTTTATTTCCTTTGATTTCTGGTGTGTACAGATTATTTTCTGGGTCCTGCCCGGAGAACTAAAGTCAGCCATGGCATCATGACATTTTCCACTGAGCAATTAAAAAACAAACACATATTTTACATAGATAAAGCCCTTCGTAAGGTGTGGGCTGTACTTGTGAGTAAAATTTTTTGGATTTCTTTAAGGCATGGGCTGCCAGGAATCCTTTCAATTAATCTATTGAAATCTTTTCCAGTCAATCCGTGGGCTCCAACTATAATTGGAATCATGAATGTTTTCATGTGCCACATTTTTGAGATTTCGGTATTTTGATAGTTTTTTTGAAGATTTTCAAAGATACATTGCAGTCAGCAGGGACTGCCATATTAATAAGGAGGCACATTTTTTGATTGTGGTCTTTAATAACAACATCTGGGCGGTTGGCTTTGATTGTTCTGTCAGTGTGTATTATGTAGTCCCATAGAATTGTAACAGGTCCTATCTCCGTAACCGGGTCTGGGTGGTGTTCATATCAGTTTCTTTCAGTTTCCTTCCCGTAGAAGTTGCAGATTTTCCAGTGCAGATATTCGCACACTCTGTTATGCCGGGTTTTATATTCAGTGGGTGTCAATACCGTGCAACCTGATACAAGATGATCGATTGTTTCTGGATATTTATCACAGAATCTGCATTTGGGGCGGACACAATATTTTAGTATATGTGCTTGATAATTCCTAGTTAGCAAGCATTGGTCCTGCGCAGCAAGGATAAAACCTTCAGTTTCCGCTTTCAACCCTGCACTACGTAGCCACTGATGGGTACGGGTTTTGTCTACGTCAGCTTGTTTGGAGGCATTTTTTGCTTTTACTCTCTCTGGTCACGATGTCTGGTTGATCAGTTTTGATTGTTGTGTCTGTTTGTATTATGAAGTCCCATAAAATCATTATTATAACTTTAAATTTATCTTTGAATTTCTAAGAAAATTTATTCTTACTATTATACATTGATTCTTTCAAACCAGTGTTTTTATTATCCATTACTTTTTGACAAATAAAAATAACCCTTTTTTCTATTATCTTCAAAACCCTAAAATGCAAGTGAAAGAACGATTTTTCTGCAATGAAAATATTATTTGCGAACTGAGTCTTATTTTCTCATCTTTATTTTGAGTTTACTGTGATTAGCTGAGTAGAAATTAAGGTTGCCTCTAGATTCATTATTTGTTGCTGATGCTGCTATTATCATCATCAGGGCCGGTATATACTCGTTTGGGCAGCCCTGATTAAGGGCCCCGGGCAGTGCTTTGTGACCCTCACTATCTTATCAACATTTACTTTATTCTATCTAAGTATAACTATTAAAGGAAGAAAAATTTTCAGATTTTGATGTCATTCGGGATAATTTCAAATCCATTAATTTCAATTGCTCATGTCAAATCTTGAATACGACACGATATAAAATTCACTATCTTTCTTATCCATAATGTTGAACATGCTAAAATTATTCAACTTTTTAACAAGAAAAATCTCAAGTTGATGTTAAAAATTGACACAAAACATTGTTAATTTATTTAAGATAAATTTAAGTTTACCTGTCTCTAATTGCTTTATTATTTATTTAAAAATGATCCTTAATAAATTACTTTTATTTGTTTTTAAAGGTCGACTAAAAAATGTCATAGTTCACCTGTCGTTAAGCAGGCGGTGTTGAGTCGGCGATTATGAGTCGTCCTGCACGAGGCTACTCGTGGATACAAAGAAAGATTACTTTACTGTATAAACATCGGAGATGAAAAATAACGTCATTGCGTGAATATGAGACAAAGAAAAGTATACCTTGTTGAATGATTCATCGAAAATATTAATAACTAGCTTAAAAGTCCCCATATCGTTCGGCATTTAAGCTATCTACTGCGATGGGCTCTTGATTGGACCTTCATCGCAGTAGGTAAGGAGTAGAGGCGATAGGCAACAATAAACTACAGAAGAACTCAAAGTTGATTGCTGCATTTAAGTATTTTATGAGATATTTAAAGTTAGAGAGTTGTGTCCCTTTAACTGAAAAAAGTGTGACACATTTTCGCATTTATTATATAGATTATTAGAATAAATTATTAAAAAAAAATGAACGAACGAATTTATGTTACAACCAAATATTATCAATTTATATATTCGGACAAGTATGATCATCTTAGCCGTTCTACTCACAGCGTTTCGGCCGGTTGTATCTCTGGCTTTCTTCAGGTGTTTATCTTCGTACTCAGTAACCTTATTGGAATTCAAGACCGAACTCTTTATTAAATTCACGTGTTCTCATTCCGCTTCCCGCGGTTACGGCGATGGGGTCACCAGTGTTATTTACTTCTATGTCGCTTATCCTGACTTTTTTTCAATGACCCAGAAAATGGGGGCATTTTAGTGCTACCAGTAGTAAGGAGTGAACCCACTACTGCTAGGAAACCAGATGTTCTTTTTAACCAACGCTTAAATTCATAAAGCCATATTTTTCTTGATTGATTCGTTTTTTTACGGCTTATCAAACTTTCACAGGTTATTTAAATCCATAAAATATTTTTAGATTGTAAGATGTTTATTTTATTTAGTAATACAAATCTTACTAATTAACCCATAGCTTTGGGACAGAAGTGGATTCATACCTTTCCCAAGTTTATTTGCGCGTAAGTCAATGTAACGAACCCAACTGGAATTGGAACTCGGCTCTCTGATTAATAATTATGAGATTATCCATCCGAACATAAAATTACTTACTTATTTCCAAGCGGTCACCCGTCTACGTAGTGACAAGGCTCAGTATTGCTTAACTTCAGTGATCGTGCGAAAAACGCTGTTTCGAAGCGATGTGACCGTAAGCTCGTAGGTAAACATTTAACCCTTTCATCCCTGACCACCGCTTTATCGCTGGTAGAGAAAATTCCCAGTCACCGGTTTATCGGTGGTAGAGAAAAATGACTCAATGCCCAACCACCGGTTGAACGGCCGGTAAACACTTGTAACTATTTTTTTTTATCTACCGTGAAACATTACATACTAATTATTTGCAAATTTTGACTCTGGAGTTCAGGCAGAAAGGTTAAAATTGTTCAAGAACTCGGAGTTCAAAGGGTTAGCAATGACTAGACATACCCAGGAAAACATCACGATCTTCCTGTTTCATTTTTTGATAAATCATCATTTTTAGGTTAATGATTGAATAATGTCCTTGGAGGGAGTAGACAAATTTCATTCCTTGAACCGGAAAAAAAACAAACTGACCACAGCTCATACATTATTATTCTGGTAAAGAAATTGGCGCCAAACTTGGCCGAGAGCATAGAAACCTCCTATAAAGGTAGCTGTCGATATTAGCTGGGGGTAACGTGACCAAAACGTATAAAAATATGGTACCAGTTAACGGTCAAGATTTATCAAAATCTCCGGCTCGCAATCCTCATGTTGGAAAAAAACCATCGCTCGACGTTTCCTGTTTCAAAGAATTATGTCCTTACTAGTGACATAGTAGATAAATCCGGTCCGTTCGAATCTAGAATACTAAATATGACTTCTCCAGAAACACAGAATATTCACCGACAGGTCCAATTCCCATTGGAAATTATTACAAGTAAGACGCTCTTTTCATCTGTTTTTCACATGCTTGTTGTTGCCTATATGTGTTATAGTTTCTTTGCGTGGGACACGCGTAAATATGTATATATAATTTTGTGTATGACAGCGCCATAAAACTCTTTTCTTTTCTTCTAACTATTCAGTCTCGTCCGTAATGCCTGTTTTTCTTGAGAATCAGGGCCCGATCAGCCTTGATTGGCTTGCTTGGGGGAGAGAATACGATACTGAGAGACCCCAAATTCTCGAGGAAATCACATCGCAAACGACTCCCCCCAGTTCATTATATATATATAACTTTCGAAATACCCTTATTGCATTGTTGAATATTTGACTGTAACAACTTTAACAAAATATTACAATGACTATTACAGATGAGAATGCGTGTAATTATGTAGGAGGGTACAAATGAAAAGATTAAAAAAGTGAGAAGGTTTTTCATTTCATTGAAGCAGACGTTAAACGCATTAGAGCGTTATCGCCTCTTCTATATTCTTTTCTTTTTTTTCTTTTCACTTCCTTTCCCTAAAACAAACAGCGCTTTTGATGTATCTTTTATTTCGTCTCCTCTTGCAATCAAACAGGAAGGGGTCATTGTTTATTCGAGGTAATACCAGGGTGCAACGTACACGCTACCTAACTATAGGAAGAAGCAAAAATAGAAAATGAGTATTCTTTATCTCAAAAAGTTCCAACGAAAATTCTTTCTTTGTTTCTATGACATTTTTCTATAACTTTTTTTTTTTTTACAGGGGAAATTTAATTAATATATAAAATATTGTTTTAAAATAAAGGCTACCAAATCTTCTTTTTCTTTATTATCTGTAAATCACTGTCTTCTTGGTAAAGATAGTGGAGTGATTTTCTATCGTCTACCGTATAAAGAATAGTTCCTTTCTTTGAAAGACAGGTAATAAAGGTTAATAAGTTCAGTTCATCTTTGAATTTAATTCATAGCTGGAGGATGATGCGATCTTCTAAGTGTAGCTTAGATGTGGCACAAGGCCGAAGTTATGGGGCACCCAGTGAGGATCGAACTCACTAGTCAGTTGTAATTGTTCTAGCGGGTGAAGCCTGCTAACTATTACATCACGTCGAGGTGCCCCAGGTTGTGGAGGAGATAGTTTAATGGTTTTTTTTGGGTTTTTTTTTCAAGGGTATTAATGTGAAAAAATCAGTGCAACAGATTATGGTTGAATTTGAACACAGGTCGCTGAGTTCACTTTTCGTGTTAGGATTGATTGATTTTAATTGAGGGATCACTTCGTCGTCTATGAACGATCCCGACATTATGTTTAATTCGCTAATAATTGTACCATTTTTTTTTTCCTGTTTAATAGTCGCAATTTTCTTGTTTTAATAAATGTTTTATCGTTCACTTCTTCTTCTACTTTTTCTTCTCCTTCCTCTTCTTCTACTACTACTTCTACTTCTTTTTCTTCTTCTCCTCCTTTTTCTTCTTCTTTTTCTTCTTTGTCTTCTTCCTTTATTTCTACTTCTACTACTTTTTCTTTTTCTTCTTCTTTTTCTTCTTTCCTCTTCTTCTACTTCTTCTTCTTTTATTTCTACCTCCTCTTTTTTCTTCTTCTTCTTCTTCTTCTTCTACTTCTTTTACTTCTACCTCCTCTTTTTTTTTTTCTTCTTCTTCTTCTTCTTCTTGTTCTTCTTCTTCTTTTTCCTCTTTTTCTTTTTCTCCGTCTTCTTCTTTTTTTACTTCTCCTTCTTCTACTTCTTTTTCTTCTTCTTCTCCTTTTTCTTCTTCTTTTTCTTCTTTGTCTTCTTCCTTTATTTCTACTTCTTCTACTACTTTTTCTTTTTCTTCTTCTTTTTCTTCTTTCCTCTTCTTCTACTTCTTCTTCTTTTACTTCTACCTCCTCTTTTTTCTTCTTCTTCTTCTTCTTCTTCTTCTACTTCTTTTACTTTTACCTCCTCTTTTTTCTTCTTCTTCTTCTTCTTCTTCTTCTTCTTCTTCTTGTTCTTGTTGTTGTTGTTCTTCTTCTTCTTCTTTTTCCTCTTTTTCTTTTTCTCCGTCTTCTTCTTCTTTTTTTTACTTCTCCTTTTTCTACTTCTTTTTCTTCTTCTTTTTCTTCTTTTCTTCTACTTCTACCTCTTCTTCTTTTTCTTCTTTTTTCCTCATCTTCTTCTTCTTTTTTCCTCTTTTTCTTCTTCTCCTCCTTCTTCATCTTCTATTACTTTTACTTCTCCTTTTTCTACTTCTTTTTCTTCTTCTTTTTTCCTTTTCTTCTACTTCTTCTTCTGCTACCTCTTCTTCTTTTTCTTCTTTTTTTCCTCTTCTACTTCTTCTTCATCTACTTTTTTCCTCTTCTTCTTTTTTCCTCTTCTTCTTTTTTCCTCTTTTTCTTCTTCTACTTTTTCTCATTTTAGTTTTTCTTCTTTTTCTTCTACTTCTCCCTTTACTTCTTATTTTTCTTTTTCTTCTTCTTCTTATTATTATTATTAATTTAAATTCAAGTTCATTTCTATTTTTTTTTTTTTTCGTGATTTTTTTTTAAAATCGATTTATTTATTATTTTTTTAGTCGGAAAAGGAAGGGGGTTTTCTTTCCATTTTTTTTATTTTTCTGCAACAGTCACCTAAAAACGCCCCCTTTTTTTTAAAGCTTCCACTAAGGTCTCCTCACTCTACGCGCGCCATTGTATCTTTATCAATTGCCAGATTCTTACCCACCAACACCCCACAGTCCCGACCCACCACCGCCATCTCCACTTCCACCCCCCCTTCTCCCGCTCTCTCACTCTCTCTCTCTCACTCTCTCTCTCTCTCACCGATTCGACGCACGTGTACTCGCTCGCGAAGGTCTTCATTCAACCTTGCTCATTAACACACACACACACACACGCAAATAAAAGAGAGAGTGATAGACAGAGAAGAAGAGAGAGAGGGATCGAGAGAGGTGCACACACACACACACACACACACACACACACACACACACACACACACACACACGAGCATTTGTACATGCGTGCGCGCACCGGGCCTTCCCAATCCTCCGACACCTCCCAAACAATTACACGCGCGCGCGCGCACGCAGACCGATGCGCTCTCCCTCCACCTCATTTTGCAAGATTTTAGTCTCAGAAGCATACGTTTCACCCTTCAGCTTCCACATCCCCGCCCCGTCACAAGCGCCATCACCACCACCACCACCACCACCAGATCGGGTGTGGTGCGGCTCCCCCTCCCTCTCCCACACTGTTCTATTTACTTGTGAAGTCTATGTAACTAGCAGTTCTTTCTTCAAACATCATTTACGGCGAGTGACTTACAAGTCAAATACGAAACGAGACAAATAGCTTTGATAACCTGAGGAAGAAAGTTTTGTTTTGTTTTTTTAATTATATATATAAGTGTATCTGTATACCTACCTTATATGTGCCATACATACATATATATATATCATTTCGAAGGAATTACGTTCAAAGTTATTCTGGGTTTTGTTCATGTAAGAAAAACGGAGAGAAAAAAGAAAAGAGAAAAAGGGGGAAAACTATATCAGATAACGATTTAAACTACCTGTAAATTGCTTCTACAATCTTCTGTCTATCTGTTACGATTGTTTTGCTAGTTCTTAATTATCAGCTCGGGATTTTAAAAAGCAAAAAAAAGAAGAGAAAAGGAGGTTTATTTACAACTTAAATCTATAAATAAATTAAAAAGAAAAGAAAAAAAAACATTGTGGATTTTACAAACGTTAAAAATTTGTTGCTTACCTACTTGTCTTTCAACTTATCACAGATCATTTAAGTACCAAGCAAATTTCTGTTGAAAAAAGACGAATTCAAAAGAAAAAATAACCACGCCAAACTCTTTTTTCCCTGACATGTTTTTTTCTCTCTCTCTAAAAATCAACACTAAACAAAACAAACATAGACTGAGATAATTGTTAAATCCCAGCCTTATTTATTTATTTATTTACATACCTTAATTCCCCCTCCACGCACACCTTTTCGCTTTAACTTGTACAATCCTTGTTTACAACGATAAAATCGTTGTGAACCCTTCCATCGTTAACTACAAGCTCACCGTAAATGAAAAAGACACACACCACGGATACACTCTTCGACTGATGTTGGTAAAGCTGCTCTGATTACTACTACTACTACAACTACTACTACAGCTACTACTACGATTAGTTGCCACAGTACAGACGAAACAAGTTATTAACTTCACTCCGACTAGTCAACAATCGAAGAAAACCTCATATATACACCATCACAGCAACAGTATTCCATATGACTTCGCTCTAGAAAACAAAACGTATATATAAAACATATATATAATTTATCATATATATAATATATATATATGTGTATATACATACACATACACACACATAAGTACACGTGTAAAAACTTATACAGGTATTCACACACGCACCACGCTGCTCATCGACTTTGTGTCCGCATCGGAATATATACGATTTGATGATTAAAACTCGCTAAGCCATGCGTCGGTCCACACGGGCTTGAAAGTGTGTGTATTGTATTTACGACGCCGGCTGGACAGAGGTATGAAACCGGGAGATATTTTCTGCTAAAATACGGCTTAGTCTGGCACAAGGCCACGACAAAAGAGAAATACAGTGGAAATACTGGATTAAAGGGAATTCTAGTCTGGATATAAAAGACAGAAGAAAAGCGATTTGCGCTCGATTCTTCTTACCATTTGTAAAATACAATTTAAAACAGAAACAAAAAAAAAGGCTTTTTTTTTTTTGTTTTTTTTTTTTTTTCTTGTGGAAAAACTTGTCAGATATTAATTTCTGACAGGCTTCTTTTTTATTTTTATTTTTATTTTTAAAAAAAAAAAAAAAAAAAAAATTCTTACCGAAGGGGTCAAATCTTATACACACATACACAAACACACGCGCATTCATTAAAAGAAAAAAAAAGAAAAAGAAAAAAAAAGAAAAAGAAAAAAAAAAAACTATAATTTCAACTTTTAAAAGTATCAGACGGAACTCCCTACCAGGAAGTAATTTCGCTAAAAATCTCAAAAACAAAAACAGATTTAATACTAAAAAGGAAAAAAAAAAAAAAAATCTGTTTATATACTCGAACGAAACTTAATTTTCAGACGTGGATCTGCAAGAATTCATTCTACCGCTTTCTGTGTTTGGAATGTTATCTGGAAATTAAAAACAAAAGAATTGGTGTGTCATCAATCACTTTGTTTCATTTTAAAATTTGAAGACAGGAACTTTATACCAAGTCTACCAAATAAATAAATAAATAAATAAAAATAAAATACAAATATAAGGCACTCGGTGAGCATCAAACTCAAAAGAGCTACGAATTGTTCTTTGAGACAAGCCTTAACCATCGCGCTACGGTAGGCGCTCGAGGAATCATCACACATCTGTTGCTAAAAACAATCTACAGCCACTGTGCTTATATTCGAATATCTTCCTAAGTCGGTAGGTTTTTATTTTAAAAAAAGAAAAAAAAAAAAGAAAGAAACGTGCTGAGAAAACGGAAAAAAAAAGATTCATTCATATAATTATCCACTAAGTATTTTATTAGCCTGGCAAAAGGGCAACAATAGTTGGGCGCTCAGTAAGAACCGAACTCGCTAACAAGCACTGTCGGAATAATAAGTTTGGTCTGAAGTAGTTCTTTAAACGTTAAACCCCCCCACACAGAGGCACTGAATTTATTTTAGACGCACGTTTACTGTATATAAAACAACATTGATTATCTAAGGAAAAAAGAAACGGTATTAGAGAATCTTTTCGTAAGCGGTGTTATGTGTGTGTGTAAAGGTGTGTGTGTGCGCGCCTGTCAGTAAGCGTGTGTTTACAAGCGAGTGTTTCTAGTTAAAAAGGTCTCCGATACCAGTTGTCAACATTAGTTGCTGTATTACTCGTCGTTGTGCCAGCCCGACAAAAATCGAAATTAGTGACTGTACAGTCGGAACAGACTTGCCTCGTCACTCAGTAACGACCGGCCCAACGAGCAGGCTGGACCGCCCCCGGGAGGTCCCGGATGGTTGTGGTGCGTCCTGTATGTGGGAGGGGATAACCAAGAATGCCAGTATGGCCCAGTACACACATGTGCAAGCTTTGCAGTTACCCCAGAGGTCGTGTCGTAAGTTGGGACTCGTGGAGGTAGCCATGATGGTAATGCGAATTGAAATCAAAACCATTGAATTCTGGAGAGCTGTAATCAGCGAGTGTTTGGGGACGTTTCTATATGTGTTGCTCGGATGTAGTGCTATGCTTTACTGTGACGGGGAGCATCCAGCCATGTCCGGCCGGGTGCTTGCTGCTTCGTCTAGCGGTCAGCGAGCGGCCGGAGCTTCAACAAGCGGCAGTCCGGAAACTGACCACCGAAATAGTGG